TGTTCGTCTTGCTTTTGGTTTAGTAGTATATTGTAAAACTGAACTTGGGAATCATGCAGGCGCACTGTTTGAGCATAATTACGAAGATAAAGAAAAAACATGCAACATGACAACACTAGGAATTGGAGCATATTGTATTTGCAACACCTACAAATTCCCTTTAACTAATTTTAAGACATAAGACTATAAAAGCAAAGGTTAAAGCAATGATTGATGCTGCTCTTGAAAACAGTGACAACACAATAGTAGTGAGGGATTTAAACGTTAGTTTAAAGGATAAAAATGGAATGCACTTGGATAGATACCTAAATACAGAAACTCTTTTGAGTAACACGAATAAGCAGCCATTTTCAAATAGAATGACTCAAAATAGACGGATGCTATTCTAACACAGAGTCTCTTTCCGCATCATATTATGAGTCATACTATAGCTATCATAAACCAATAATTGGTTTCAGCAGTAAAAAGATACCAACTCAACAGAAACTGATGTTATCGGGAGTATAAATCCTTATAGTCCTGAAGATATTGTTGATGGTGTGTCATGCTATACAAATACTGTGTGTCAATGTATTCTTCTTTATCAGTACTGCGTGAAGCAGTGGTAGCTCATCAAAATGATGTTAATCATATCATATAGACTGAGAGAAAATCTAGACCCAAAAAACGACCCACACCTTCCTGTCATAGACAAGACGCAGATCTAGGAGTAGCTCCAAGAAAAAGGATAAGCCTATACTACAGTAAGTTGGGATTTTGTCAAAGGGGGACTATTTGCAATTATCAACACGATTATAATAAACCAATGAATTCACAACAGCTCAGATTGATGTTTGACGGAATGGTCACTGGGATACAGCAAACAAGATATTATCAGAATAATCTGACCGATCGAATAGTCAAGAGTCGAGAAGACTCTAGGTCATATCTTAGAGACACAAGACAGGATCATAAGGGATCTCAAGAAAATAAGTCTTTCACCAAGAGATGCGACTCAAGTGCTATTTGGAGCAGACAGCAGGAAGAACTTGAAAGGACGTGCCACCTCTTATGCACAAACTCATAATTAGAGGAATTACTAAAGACTGAAAACTGAAATGCGATTTGAAATTAATTTTAATGCAAACAAGTTAATTTTTTTTACTCACTGTTTACACGAAAACCTTTTACAGTATCCACAAGTCGTGGATGGGACCTTTGCGTGAGCGGGCAAACAATACAACAACTCAAAGAGAGACTGAGGGGATATACGCCGAGAAGAACAGTTTGCCTCCTCATTGGTACGAACGACATAATACAGCTCTCTAAAGCGACAGTGCCACTGGTAAATAAAGATTTGAAATAATTGTAATGTAACCAAGAAACTTACTGTTTACACGAAAACCTTTTACAGTATCCACAAGTCGTGGATGGGACCTTTGCGTGAGCGGGCAAACTATACAACAACTTAAAGAGAGACTGAGGGAATATACGACGAGAAGATTTTGCCTCCTCATTGGAACAAATGTGTTTTTATAAGTATCAATACTATCAATCTGGTTATAGGTCGTCATACTCAAATTGCATTAATTAGAATAACTGATGATATTAGAAAATCTATGGATGATCGAAAGAAGAATGTCCTCCAGCATTGGTTTAGCATTAGCGCGCAGGTCGTTTTCAAAGCGGCCGAACTATAGTCGTGCATTTGACTGTGTTAGTCATACACTCTTATTGTCTTTTAACATTATCTCAAGTGTGGTGTAGTAATAATTGAGATCGATGGTAGGAGGTTGGACCTTAGCAATAGGTTTCAAAAAATTTGGTTACAGGAAGAATTGAGGTGATTTTCGCAATTATGGAAGTCATTATTATACAGTAATAACTTCAGAGCGAAAACCTACTATTGTTTCTTAGTGTTACAATAAACAAGTTACATTCATTTCTGTTTTAGCTCTATGGTATGGTGTGAATTTCATATAGAAACTGTTTTATAAGGATAATAGTAATGTATACTTGACATGATAGTTTGATTATTTAATTTGAGTGAGGTTTAAAACCATTATCCTTAAACGGTTATATGAAATTATTAAGTTTAATAGCAGGAAATAAATAAATGCAATCTAGTTCATACTCAATTAGTGGACATTATAGCTCTCCAGTATAAAGTAAATTCTTGTTTCCCAGTGTTACTTTTCCTTACTCGTTGTCTATATTATGCTGTATTAGGTTATGTATGAAGTGAACGTTACATATGGTTAAGACGATCGTTTTAAGTTTTTAAATGCATAACTTGATGTCAGAACTTTTTTCGTAAAGGAATTATGTAAAGGTCAAGAACCTAGTACAAGTATTTACTGTCCATGCTACTTCTATAGGGGTAGAGTATTCTAGACATACATTCAGCTAAGTGTTAAGAAGTTACATTCCGTAAAGATGAACCTCCACGAATGAAGAGGTTTCTAGCCTAGACAAAGCTAAGCCATTATGGCTGGTTACTCCTTCCTACTTTTACCTGAAAAAGCGTTCTTTCTTGTACTGATTATGTTACGCAAAGTAATACAATGATTCAGGCTGAAAGACAAATTTACCTCATACATAGATCTGAGACCAGTAGCCACTGAGTTACTGTTAGGAGTTTGTAGTTACTAATTACCTTCACAACACTTTACACAAATCACAAGAACTGCTCCATTTGAATTTTGCATTCAGCAAAAAACGGAGAGTTTGATTTAGGGACTTGGACGGATTGTCACCTAGTACGGAAATGAGGGACACTTAAATACAAATGAGAAAATACATCGATATAATTACGTAACAAGTATTTACCAAATTTGGTCTACTCATGAGATCACATTCTTTAACATCGAAAATAGTAAATATAAAAAACTTGATACAATAGAACTGATGAAATCATAGGTAAAACACAATCGAACCTTTTAAGTCTTTGCGATTTATTAGTAATATTTCTTATACGTATTTTTGAAGCTCTCTTAGTGTAGTGGTTCGCATTATGTATTAGGCACATTTTGAAACTTCATAGTTTCTTTCAACAAACACACATGTTAAAAACCCCTCTTAAATTAAACATAAACTACTCATACAAAAAAGCGAATAATCAAAATAAGGCATGTTTTCGTTAAAGGATTTTTATTTCTACGGCCTTTCCATATTAATCTTTTTTCTGTTCAAATTTACAATCATAAAAGTAAACAAAACTACAGAAAATAATTGTAATTGAGTAGGGTCAAGCAGTGGTCTTCTTTCAAACTGAAGTCAATAATCAATATAAATGTACCACATATTGAATGATAATTTGGGTATTATTTCGTTGTCCCCCCACTTTGTTCAGATTGATCAGAATGAAATGAGAGTCGAAAGTATTATTTTACAGACTTCTTTATTATGAACTGTGGGGTTTCAAGTACGTATCCTGTACAATTCGTCTGGAATTAATAAAAAATAAAAAAAAATAAAAAGGAATGACAAGAATGATCAAAATTATGCTCCAAAAGTATTAATATAAACATCAAATGATAATGATTTTACTGTCGTTTAACTCACCTTCTACGTAATATTTTCTCTATTTCACAACGGATTGTACGAACTGTCGTATGGCAAGTTTACTCCTATAATAAACTTTGTCTGGAGAATAGAAACTTTAGAAGGTGTTTGAAACTTAGCTTACGCTGGTGAAAGTAGCTTAGTCTCAGCGTTTGTATTAGTTTTAGTGTTTTATTGTTTCGAAAAACAATTGTTATTCTCGCATTTAAACATTTTTAGCAGGCTTTAATAATTTGTTTTCTAGAAACGTATTTTTTTTCCAAAATAGTTCTTCTCTAGAAACTTGAAAACTAAATTAAGAGTTTAAGAATAAATAATGCAATTAAATCGTTTTTATAAATATATTTGTACATATATGCAAGATAGTGCGTCTTTTAAAACTAATAGTAACTAGTAGTAAAACTTTACAAAGTGTACCAATTTTTTATCTTTATGAAAAGAACCAATGTTTACAATATTCACAAAGTGTATATAAATTAAAGCATATATTATAATATTTCTACAAGTATTCTTTAGCTTATCTCCTCCTTTAGAACAAAAAACGTATTAATTCAAGCCATTAAACTGTTTTTAGACACTAAATTAATAAAAATAAAACCATTTCTTAACATTATCTCACTCCTAAAGTGATAAACATTTTCATATGATGTTAAACTAAATTATCACTTAAAATTAATTACACATAGTTTTTGTTTTACGATTATATATCAAGTTAATTTTAATCTTGTCAAATACTCTTTTTAATTAAGTATTTCTGACGTAAAAGTACAAATACATAAACTCCAGGTGAATCTCTGCGTTTGCTCACTCCGAGAAAACCAAATAGACTTAAGCACTTCTTGCAAACTCTGAAAAGGGAAATTAAGTTTAAACGTCTCAAGTAGACTCCAAGCTTTAAGTAAATATGAGAGATTCAGCATTTCGATTTAAACTATACGTGTGTGTAAAAAATAAAATCACTGCCCTAAAGGATTAATAGTTCAAGTGGATTTAGTTTCTTCATAGAAAAAATATGTACTGTACAATGAAATTCGCAAATAGGTGCCAAAAAACTTTAATTATTTGAGACCATTTATCTTTTTTTTATAAAAGTAGAAATAAAGATTTCCTGGTATAACTCAATAAAATGTTAATAGGGGATATTGATGAAAATGTTTAAATGGGGTATCTCGGATTTATGAAAACCAAAAACCATCGCAATTTTGTACTGGGTTGAGATAGGGATATCACGTTTTCGCGGAAATTCTTTTTAAATAATTACTTTTAAAATGAGGTGTCACTTAATGGATGTGATCACAACGCAGTTGACTCTGATGTTAATCGTCCCATGCCCATTCTTAATTATTTAGTGAATATGGATAAATCTTTTGACAAAGTCGTCGAGAAATCTCAGGCAAAACGCTATACTGATGTAAGGGAAATGTTAATTAAATTTAAATTATTTTAATTCACAGAATATATAATGTACATATAATATCATGATCAATGGCTAACTAGTTTGACTGTTATTACACTTCACCTTGTTGGCAGAACTGGAGAACAGCTGTTAATTAACTAAAGTCATTTTTGTAATGAGCTGTTTCTTCAAATCTTTCTTAGTTGGCTGATTCCCTTAAAAATTGTACAAACTCGTGAAAATGTAAGTAGAAAACATTTTAAATATAAGAAAATTGATTTATGTGGTATTGTATTGTTAATAATCTTGTTTACCATGTTTTTACCTATGATTATATATATTCTTTTGATTGTCTGTCAGTTAATAACTTTGTAAATGTCAAATATTAAATACTCAACTTTCATGTTACATTTGGATGAGAAAGCACATGTTCTGAGAATATTTTATAAATTGTAAAATCATTTAAATTAATTCTGTTTGCCTCAATTATGTGAAACTAGTATTACTTTAGTTTACCTGTTATTATTTCTTTTGAAATTGTTACAGACGAGTTCAAGCATTAGGCCTACTGTACTTGAAACAGTCATAGTCCGTAGGAACTGGGAATCACAGCCTATTTAAGCCAGTCAAACCGTAGGAATTTTACCAAGTAAGACTGTTGCCATTTAATTACTGATATAGTAATATTAGATATCATTTATAAGGAAGATTATAAAGGATTTTCATTATTTTGAAGAATAAAAGTATAATTTGTTATAACCATGCATTGGAGTAATTTGTGCAGCATCCTACCATCTGAGGGGAAACACCAAATGATAGGTTATCTCAGCAAACACCATCTTAGCTGTTAGCTTGGTGTTGAAGAATAATAATTCTAAATTAAATCTTGCCTACCTACTCTCCGGTGATTGGCCTATACAGGGGTACTGGGTAGCGTATAACGCCCATGTACCAACCCTGCGTATTCGCTTGACTGTCTTCCAAAGGGGCAAGAATAACACTTGTCCACCTCATTTGCCAGAAGCCGCTAACAAAAATCAACCAGTCAAGTCTCCCGATGACTCTAAAGCACGTACCTCAAGGACTGGAGAAATCTACAATACCACAACAATGGACACAGCAGGGACATCTAGGGTTGCATGGACAACCAGAGACTCAATCACCTGCCTTGGTGGTTTGCAAACTTGTGGTCAGACCTAAAGAATCCTAATCAAACTGATACCTTTCATTTTGACGTGAATACGGGAAAGTTGACGGGTTGGCTGAGAGAAAAATACCTTGAACATGCCTTAACGATTCTCCTCAAGTATCATACAATATTTTACCATGATCCTTCATTGCTGAAGCATATGTCAACAAGAAGATCGAAAAATACATGTTCCTCTTTTTTTTCTCAGAATTGGCCAAAAGGATTGAAATATATCGGACAGCTTATTTGACTGGGATGCAACAAGGGATTGGACATTTACGAAGAGAGCTTACAGAATCGTCTGCCATGAACAGGGCGACACGAACAAATTTGGTGAGAACCATCGAGTCCAAAAACGCGAATGTTGAGAGAGGTCAACTACAGACTGAATTACCTTATTTCTGGTGCAACCAAAGATGATTTTTTAGGGAATATTTTAAGTGGGTTCTTTCTCAGGGTTATGAGAAATTGAAAGGACCACAGCTTGTAAAGTAATGAGATAGAGACATCCAGATATTGCCGATTTTCCTCAATTTTTTTAGCTGTTCCCAAAACACCTTTTTTTGGATCCAGAAAAAATTCGTATACTAACGTGTACTTTTATGCCATATGGAGGTGTGCATAATCTGGATTTCCTGGTGAAACACATTAAAAAATTAATGGTGGATGTACAAACTTACCTTTATCCTGTATATTCAATTGAATCTGGCGGTTTCAAGGAAAATGATAAGGTAGATTAAAGGAATTGTGCTAGTAGTTTTATCAGCAACAGGACACCATTGGAATGCACAAGTCAGGGCTAGAGGTGCGCCTTACATAATAATTGACACAGATGCAACTACTCTTATCTTTCTTTAACAACTAGTGGTACTCGCTGTATAGGTTTGGTTGCAAAAGTAAGCTCAATGACTCCAAGCAAAGATATTTATGTTTCAAACAATCACGACTGTGTATGCAATGTGTGTCATATGAACGGTAAAATATAGCTGTACTGGTAATTACGTTTTTAATGTAGGGAAAATGTATGCCCATAATACTAGGCAAGGAAATGACTTTTTCATAATGAGGTGATACTGCAAAAGATATTGTGTAAAATATGCTTTGTTTGCCTTAACATAAGTTCGTTTGACAGTAATCTAACAATGTAGAGTAAAAAGTAGCGAGTAGAAAGCATGGATTTGTACTTTCTAAGTTTGCACTTTTGCATGGTTTGTTTGAATTTCATTCAATTTTAGTTTAGACGTTTTCGATGCATGTATTCCAAGGTTTCAAGCAATAAAGAGTTTCATTTTAACAAAATCACTGCAGCCAATAAGACTGAATATTTTATAAACAAGCTAAAATAGAGATCTGGTTGCAATTGTGTGCTACGAAGGAATGTGCTATGCTGCAGTTACCTCCAGTTTGATTTTGAGATGTCAATACTAAATAATCAAATAATCTTTTTTTTTCAGTATAATAGCTGCTTGGCCTCATCAATATACAAAACTTGTCGGCGGGTTCAATTGATACTCAGAAAATAACGCATACAATTATAACTTTTATCAGTTACTGACAAAACTCTTAATAAAATATCATACGATGCTACAAATGTGTACATAAAACCCGAGTATGATTTTTAGTTAATAAAGACCATATATATTTCTGAATTTATCTATTTTTAAGACAATAATTTTATCAAAGAGTAGCTAATTAAATCTATGAGTATATTAGCATGTAATTGGGAATTGACCAGTATAAGTTGAAGAGCCAATTACACCAGGATGTATATAGCACACGTTAGGTTGCGGTGTTGTCGGTTGTTTTGTGACCGCTTATCTGTCAGGTGGGCAGCAACGTTGTGTTTTGTACCATTCTAACGAGACCGACTGCAATACGTGATTTAAACTTTATATGTCTCTCTACAAATGACACGTTTAAATATATCTAAAAAAATCTCACGGTTTCTAATGATTTAATTCAATTCCATTAAGAGGTTTGCTTCTGAATCGGACAGACAAAACTACAAAAAGAATATAACATATACACTGCATTTAAATTTACATTAACAGGTACTATATCGTTAAAAACTAATATGAGGGAGCATTTAATTTTTCATATTTTTACTTATCTGAACCGAAATTGAATTAAAAAGATAAACAACGGAAAGGAAAACAATCACAGATACAATAGAAAACCACCCTTCTAAGTGGATGATAATGTTTCGAGGTAAGATAGGTTAACAATATGTGTGACGGGACAGAATTTTAGAAAAAAGATTAATATGAGCTGCAAAGGATAAATTATTTTATTACCTCTAAATGTGATTATATCTCAATTACACGTTTGTAAAATCAAAACCTTTTTATATACCTGGATTTTAAAGCATTATATTTTCTTCATATATTTTTTAAACCTACGGTATGAAAAAATCGACAGACACGAACACAATAAAGATGCTGTTTATTTAATGTATGAAAATCACTTTTGTCGAATGAATTATAAAACCCTAAAATAACGCGGTTTCATAAAAGTAATTTTATTCAATGAAGTGATACATTTATTATCTTTTTAGGTACTTAATTTCAGACTACATAGACACATAACATGTATGGAGTCACCAAAAGCGTAGTGAGCTATGCAGACCCAGGTTCTACAAACCAAATTAACTCAAATAGGTCTTGTTAGCCTTTTTTGATGTCTGCGTACATTAAGCATAATTTGCCATGTTGTAATTTTTCTAAAATCATAGATACCTTTACGAAACTTGGTTAGTACTTGCATTTACTTAGTAGTAGTTTACTTAGTTTATTTAGTACTAGCGCGTCAAAATAATTTCAGACTACCCAAAGTCAATAAATCAATTTTTCGCCATTCCTTTGAGTATTTAGGACCGAAGTATTTTAATCAAGTTCCTTCAAACATTAAAAATCTCACAAATCTAAAATCATTCTCCAAACAATTGAATCTCTGGCTTACTGCACAACAAAACATCGATTATTTAAGCAATGTTATCTCATAGATATGGTACCAAAGGCCAATAGTTGCATGTAAGAATGAAATGACCTTCTCTACCTTTCGTTAAGTTTCCAGAATTATTGTTGTTTTGTTATTTATTACCTATAATTATTGTTGTTTTGTTATTTATTACCTATAATTATTGTTATTTATTATTTACAATTAGTGTTATTTAATTGTGCTTGAATAATTTGCAACACTCACATTGTTATTTATTTACATTTTAATATATGTATTTAGCAGATACCCAAATGGCGGCATGAGAGTATTTTTAATGCATGATGCTAGACTCAAAATATATTATAATTTATTGTATTTATTTGTTCTAACTGACCGCACTACTTGAAAAGCGGCCAGTCAATTTCCAATACTGTAAATGCATGTAATAAGTTTGTTCTCAATGGAAATAAATTCATTTATTCATTTATTCATTTTATAGTAAAATATCCTAAATATTTGTATCTTACTTAATAGTTTTTAAAATGATTGTGTTTTATAAATGTATAACTTTATGTAAACGAACCTCACAACCAAATCCATAAACTGAATTGGATTACAACTTGTAATGTGACTGGGTAGGTCTGATGTGACACACGATGTGAGAGGATTAGCATTCAGCTGAGCTCTCCTTGCTATGACACTTGCAGTAATTGACAATAGTCCAATTATAACGTGCTACTTTTGGGAAGGTTTGATGTGACACACGATGTAAGAGGATTAGCATTCAGCTGAGCTCTCCTTGCTATGACACTTGCAGTAATTGACACTAGTCCAATTATAACTTATTCTTCCTACACTCTCCACTTGTAATGTGACTGGGTAGGTCTGATGTGACACACGATGTGAGAGGATTAGCATTCAGCTGAGCTTTCCTTGCTATGACACCTGCAGTAATTGACACTAGTCCAATTATAACTTGCTACTTCCTACACTCTCCACTTGTAATGTTACTTGGGTAGGTTTGATATGACAAACGATGTGAGAGGATTAGCATTCAGCTGAGCTCTCCTTGCTATGACACCTGCAGTAATTGACACTAGTCCAATTATAACTTGCTACTTCCTACACTCTCCACTTGTAATGTGACTTGGGTAGGTCTGATATGACACACGATGTGAGAGGATTAGCATTCATCTGAGCTTTCCTTGCTATGACACCTGCAGTAATTGACACTAGCGCAATTATAACTTGCTACTTCCTACACTCTCCACTTGTAATGTGATTTGGGTAGGTCTCATGTGTCACACGATGTGAGAGGTTTAGCATTCAGCTAAGCTCTCCTTGCTATGACACTTGCAGTAATTGACACTAGTCAAATTATAACTTGCTACTTCCTGCACTCTTCACTTGTAATGTGATTTGGGTAGGTCTCATGTGTCACACGATGTGAGAGGTTTAGCATTCAGCTAAGCTCTCCTTGCTACGACACTTCCATTAATTGACACTAGCCCAATTATAACTTGCTGATTTCTTCACGTTTTCCTTGTAATTTGACATGGGTAGGTTGGTAGGTATGAAACACGATTATGAAGGGGTTAGCATTTAGGCTATGAAACTTACTGGCACTGGGTAATTCCC